AATGTTATGACGGCATTTGACCCTCCGTTCGAAAGGTTATTATTTGAGGATTCCAATGGTGGTTTCGGTTTTAAAGGGGGGGGGGGAATACTCGTCGAGATATTTTCATCAGAAGTAATTCAATGAAAAATATCAAATTTATCGCCGGACGATAAAGAGTTAAGCCCAGTAACAGAAAATCAAGTTTCAGCAATATTTTCTTCCTTAGATGAAAATAAATCGTACATGAACATTCCAATATTGTGCATCAAAATTGCAAGTCACTTATTATGTAAACCCTTTGTAAAGATATATAATGAATCAATATCAACCGGAATAGTTCCTGAAATATTCAAAATTTCAAGAGTTACTCCTGTTTATAAAAGTGGCGTTACAACAGAATTGGGAAACTATAGACCAATTGCAATTATCTCTCCTTTTAGTAAAGTATTAGAAAGACTTATATGCAACCAAATTTTTGCCTTTGTCGAAAAAGAAAAGATACTTTTTGATTATCAGTTTGGTTTTAGAAAAGGACATTTGACTGAACACGCAATTCTCGAAACTATTGAAAACTTGAAAACAGCAATAGACAAAAACAAAATAACTTGCGCAATCTTTCTAGATTTCTCAAAAGCTTTTGACACCATTAATCACGAGATCCTACTGAATAAAATACATTCCTATGGCATTCGTGGAGTGGCGAATAAATGGTTTTCAAGCTACATATCTGATCGCAAACAATAGATTAAAATTGGTGAAACAGAATCTAGTATGAAAACAATGACTTGTGGTGTCCCACAGGGATCTACTTTAGGACCACTACTCTTCCTGTTATATATCAACGATTTACCTAATTGTTCAAAAAAAATTTTATTTAGAATTTTCGCTGATACAAATATTTTCTATTCCTCAAACAGCGTAAATGAGCTAGAAAAAACAATTAATGATGAATTAAAGCATGTACTGAAATACTGCAATGATAACAAGCTTTCTATCAACTTTAAAAAAAAACAAATTACATGCTAATTACCTCACCAAGGAAAAAATGTGATATAACAATAAAAACATGCGACATAAAAAGGAAAAAGAAGATAAAGTATTTGGGTGTTTTTATCGATGAGCATCTACAATGGGATGATCAACTGCAACATATACAAAACAAAATAGCCAAGAACACTGGAGTTATAAATAAACTAATACATTTCGTATTCATTTATATGCTAAAACAACTTCACTACACACTAATATATCCTTACCTAAATTACGGTATCATGAGTTGGGGCACTGCCTGTCCAACTAGATTGGATAAAATAAAAACTAAACAAAACAAATGTCTTCGTGCAATCTTTTTCTCAAGAACAAACGAAAATGTAACGGCAGTGTACTGGATACAGATTTAAACTATCAGTACAGCTCCTGGTGTGACCACTTGGGACTTGTATGTAATCTTCAAGCTGTACATTAAATGAACCGCTCATATACTTGTAAACAAAGCATAAGTCACAACACTCCAACCAGTAGGAAATATGGAAGCAGGTTGAGAGTAATCAAGCGGGATTTGTAGTTGGGTCGGACATGATGATTGTTGCTGCAGTTGAGGATGAAACGCGTAGCTCGCCTCTGCACACTCTCCAATAGTTTTAAGTCTGTTCTGCATGACTGAGGAGCCCAGATTTCACTAGCATAACTTAGGTGGGAGTGCACCAGTGATAAGTACATCGACCTTCTGTGTGGGCAGGCCCAGTTAAGGAAACGCCAAAGTGTCGTCGTAGGAAGCCAAGTGTCTTGTTTGCTTTGGCAACAACAGAAGAAATTTGGAGGTCCCACGTCAGCTTGTCATTAACTAAGACTCCCAAGTCTTTTGATGAGGGAACGACAGCGAGTGGGTGGTCATTGATGGTGTAGGGATTGACGGTAGGGGATTCCAGCATGCTTCTTCGCTTTCTAGATATTCTTAATACTTCGCATTCGTTCTTGTTAAAAGAAAGTCCCCAATCTTGAGACCATATGGACACTGAATGTAAATCTTGCTGAAGGGCAGTACAATCGTCTGAGTTACGAACCACACAGGAACATTTAGCATCATTACGGGTACCCACAAGGAAAATGTTCCTTCGATAGCAACTCTCTGGGGATCTCGAACCCCTGATGTTTGATTCTAGTTTCAGTAAGTCCAATAACAGAAAAAGAATATTTAAGATCATTCAATAGAAGAGAAAATTTTTCAATATTAGCTGCAAGACTTCTAATATTGCAATGTAATACTCCAAAAGATTTTTTGGTTGATAAATCTAAAATATCTTGATTATTTAAGAACTCTTCTCCAGAATAATAATTAAAGTTAATTTGGCTAGGTAAGTGTTGATCAATGTCAGCTAATCTAAGAGATGGTATTTTAGTAAGAGCTGACACCAGATCAAAACATGGTAAATTATCAAGTCTTAAATTATTCACACTCATAGTTTATATCAATCTTACACACAACAATTATAGAAAAAATAATACATGAATGTTAAGTATAATAGACACACATGAAGATGATATGCACATAGAGATAATGACTTATCTGTGTAGTCTCTCCAAAAGCTGCAGATTATCAACAAGAATAGCAGGGCTGTCATTGTCCTTTCGTAAATACATTCGACCATTTAGAGTCCAGAGATATTCCATGTCTCGTTTCTTTTTTAGACAAGATTTAAAGAGTTCTTTGCATTTCTTTGTGAGACTTTCTGCCATATAAATCTTAGAATCTCTGTATCTGGTATAGCCAAGGTCTCTTGTGCTGATATCCTTCAACATTAATCTTGCTAAATATAGTTATCTCTTATATCACGTCTTACAAATTTAACAGTGCCATATAAGTACCAGCCAGTGGCCAGTGCCATATAATTACCAGAACTTGCAGTATTGCTGATGATTGTGGATTTGCGAGTCGATCATTGTGGATTTGCGAGTCGATGACTGACGATCTTTGAGGCCAATTTTATCATAATAGCATTTGTATCTTCATCAGTGGTAACAGGAATGGTAACAAATCAGAAAACTCATGATGTATATTCTATACCTTGTGGTGACTGCGAGAAAGAGTATTTGGGTCAGTCTAAACGCCAGTTTGGTACACAACTATAAGAACATCAAAAGGCTGTTTCAACTTTAGACAAGGGAAAATCAGCTTTAGCCGAACATGTATGTTACACCAAACATGAGATTGCGTGGGAAAACTCTAAAGTAATTACCACAAACAATCGCTATGGTCAAAGACTTTGCCTAGAAGCGTGGCATATAAGTATGAGTAATCATGCTTTGAATAGGGATGACGGTGCCTATTTGTCAGAGGAATATATGCATCACATTGACAGGTGACGTCATCCCTTGGGTATTTAAGAAGCTACGATTGCAATTTTAGATCACCCCTGATGAAGACACTAGACTGGAGTGTCAAAACGTGGGTCTTGATTACAATTCGACTGGGCTTTGTAATCATTTATTTAAACCAGAGTAGCAAGCAAAACATGATTCCTGTTACAAGTTCCTAACTTCCTGTTCTGTGCGTTGTTATTGGCTAACAGAAATAATCCACCAATGACAATGCTCAGAACAGAACAGGAAGTTAGGAAATTAAAACAGGAAGTTAGGAAAGTTTAAAATGAAGTTTTTTGCATTGGAATATTGCAACAGCCGATGGGAACATTGCAAACTCCCTGTGAAGGGATTTGCAAAGAGTTTTTCAAATTTGCAAAGCTAATGAGGAAAATTCAAAATGAGTTAGGAAGTCAAGGGTGATGTCATCCCTTGGGTATTTAAGAAGCCACGATTGCAATTTTAGATCGCCCCTGATGAAGACACTAGACTGGAGTGTCAAAACGTTGGGTCTTGATTACAATTCGACTGGGCTTTGTAATCATTTATTTAAACCAGAGCGAAACAAGATTGATATACCTGGTTGCAATGAACGAACAAACTTTAAATTGTAAAAGGAAGTTAAGAACTTCTAACAGGAACTGGGAAAAATTTAATTGGCATTTAGCAACATTTGCAAGGAATTTGCAAATTCCTTCAAGAGATTTGCAAGGGGGGGTTAAATTGCAAAGGTAATGAGAAAAATTGCAATCAATTTAGGAAGTCAAAAGAGGAACGCTTCACATAGTTTACCTGTAATAGCCCTTCATAGTTAAATGTGATTCCTCTGATGATGGGCTGTGCCTGAAATGTCAATAATTTGTTTTTAAAATTCCCAGCAGTTCCCCACCTTTTCCATTTGTTACCATTTTTCATAATTAATTACAGTAAGGAAAAATATAGGAAAAGTATATTAACCGGTTTAAGCCATAGAGCCACAATGCGCCCCAGTGTGCCCTACTTATTTTTTCACTTGTCTAACACCAGACGATTTTACTCATCAATGTGGAAGCTCTGCAGCTTAAGGTTACTTCACATGATGAACATGCGTTTTAGTCTATTGAACATGGCGCAACAAACTTTAGGTGTATCTTTACCAAATTTTTAGTGAAGAAAGCCAATAAAATGCTGATTTTGAAAATCTTCATTTGATGGGTGTTCTGTTTAAACATGTCCAGCCAGTATTGGCTGACTAAAGAAATACATAAGTATCCCATAAAAAAATTTATAGTTTACCTTAACGTTTGTCTACATATATCGATTTGAATCTTCATAGGTACGGTAAAAGTGTGCGGAAAATTTCTCTTCTTTAATGGTTTTTCTGATATGTTTTCTTTGACAACTTCGTGAATTATCAGTGACAAATCCAAGAATCAGGGCATATGAGAAAAACCACTAAAGAAGAGAAATTTTCTGCACACGTTTTTTTTACCATGCCTATGAAAATTTGAATTGCGATATCTAGACAACCGTTGAGGTAAACACTATAAACATTTTTTTTAAGGTACCTACATATTTACTCAGTCAGCCAATACTGAAAATGTTAAAACAGAACACCCATCAAATGAAAATTTTCGAAATCAGCATTTCCTGGCTTTCTTCACTGAAAATTTGATAAAGTTACACCTAAAATTCGTTGAGCAATGTCCAATGGACTAAAACGCACGTTCATCGTGTGAAGTAACCTTAATGGGTTAAAAAAGCAGGTTATGGTGAACTAATATCTTAGTTAAATTGTGTTTTAAAAAACTTCTTGTCTTCTTTGGTTTGTAGAGTAAGCAAAAAATGCCTTTAATGAGGCTGAAAATACCACAGAGTTGCTTTCCTGTGTTAAGAATTTAATGCCACTACCAGACACTGATTAAAATATTGTAAATGTGAAAGGAACAATGACCAAGTTCAAAGCAAGTGTTAAGTGCAGTGTGAAGAATGCTGATGATATGAATAAATTGATCACAAACTACAACCTGAAAAATAATGAGACCTTAAAAGTATCCACAACAAGGATTGTCACAGATCAAAACAGCCCATATCAAATGATCAAGTATTTCCGATGCCATCATAATACTCGGTATGAGCCCATCAATTTTACCACCAAATAGTGAAGTTCTGTATTTAAACTGAGAATTCTTTTTTTAGTGGTTCCTTAATTGTTTTATAAAAACGAGTATTTTTCCACACATTTTTTCGATTATAGCACTAGTATATTATAATCATACATGCATGACAGCAAATACAATTTATTATCCTTTACTCCTGTCCAAGCTATCCCATTGATAGGTTTAATTGTCTGCAAAATAATAAAAGTCAACAAATGTTGTATTCAGGAAGTAAAAGGGGTAAACAAATGTCAAGTCTTATATTTTGTTTAACTAACAAGGAATTTGCTTGTGTGATGTTACTCTGAGTGCATATCCACACCGGGCAGGCTTGAAAAATATGCCTGGCCAAGGTGGGATTCGAACCTATGACCTTTCAAACACTAGGCCCAATACTGGGCTAGTATTCCAAAGGTCGTAGGTTTGAATCCCACCGTGGCCAGGCATATTTTTCAAGCCCGGTGTGGATATACACTCAGATGAACATCACACAAGCATCTTATTCACCTGATTACATTACACCAACATAACAAGGAATTTGTTTCTTCCCAGACTGCATTATGTTTCTTTTTCTTTTGTCTGTATATTCCAGCCAGCTGTGTGCATTTTAGACCTACTAATTTAATAATTGGTACGTACCACTGTTCTATTTAAAGGTCACAATAAAGTTTCAAGAGGAAAATCAATATTACTTTTCAAGCAGTGTCTGAAATTTCAGGTATCCCGATATCCAAGTGATACTAAAATTTGGTTTTGGATTCCAAACTGTGAATGACTTATATCCCAACTGGATACTAAGAAAATTTCAAACATTAATTAGGAAAATGTTAAGGTGACAGTCTCCTGATAGCTTTTGAATAATATGAGTTTGCCACCCAAGCTCTTCCTCCTTTTATGTGCATTTTTATGTATTAATTAATTGTCTAGTGTTGACTGTTGAATCTCCTGTTGTTGTTGTAATTTGTATTCGGATGGGACAGGGTATAATACTTTGGTAACCAGAAGTGGGATACTGAATGCTCAGAGAGGATACTAAACTTTGAATCCTGGTATCCCAGTTGGATACTGAGAAAAAAAATTAAATTTCAAACCCAGACTTTTGTACCTCTTATAAATAAATAACTGTTGATTATGATCTTCTTGCTTTTCGGTTGCTTATGATGCCATCTTCTTTTACTGTAGATTCCCCAAGCTACAGATTTGGCATTCCTTGATTCGTCCTCAAATATGGAAGAGTTCAACTTGCACATCTTCCTGATGCTGACTCAGTGTTTGTGGAGCACTTCCTTTGGGAATAATCATCACTAGTGATGAAACAACTGAGACACTAGTAGATGCATTATCTCAGTTCAAGTCAGCCTTACCAGATGATGCATTTTTTGTGCCTCTCCTGTCAAAGGCCCAAGAATGTTTATGATGGATAACTGCCTGGTAATGAGAGATGCTCTTTCTCAGACCTGGCCTGATGCAACACCAGTCCTGTGTATATTTCATCTTCTTCAGCAGATTTGGCGGTGGTTACATGATAGAAATCATGGCATTGCCATTGAGGATAGACCACATATCCTCTTAGGCTTCAAGCGTGCACTTTATGCTGAAAGTGAAGGTTTCCAGGCAGAATATCAAAGTTTGATTGAAGATGAAGTTGCATCTAAATACCCAAATTTCATTAAATACATATCTGATGTTTGCAATGATTGTGAATCCTGGGCATTGTGTTACAGACAGGATCTACCTCTACGAGGCAACAACACCAACAACTACTGTGAATCACAGTTTGTGGTGATAAAGGATTAGGTTATGAATAGACAGAAGGAGGTGAATGTTGTTGGCCTCATTGACAAGCTTACAAATGACCATTACCAGAACAAGCTCCTGTCAGATGCATCTGGAAAATTTGATGGCACTTACAGCAGACGATTTGCTGGCTTCTCCAAGAAGAAGAACGAGAGTCTTGGTTTCCAGAAACCATCATCTGAAGCACAAGTACTAGCTTTACAAGATTTGGTATCTCTTGGAAAGAAGATACCACATATTTAGTTGATATGACCCTTGGAGTTTGTGAATGCAAGCATGGAACAAATGGTGATGTATGTAAGCACCAGTTTGTCTTGTGGGCCAACAAAGTAGCACAAGGCACTAATTTCCTGCCAATGTTTAGTGCAGAACAGAGGATGAAATTTGTGAAATTGGCCTTTGGCAATACAATGCCTTTGGGCTATTACGATGGCCTACATGACAGGATCATTACTATGCTAGAAAGCAATGGTCTTGAAGAGGATTGTGCAGGATATCAAGTAATTACTTTAGCACTTTTACTCCTGAACATTGTGTTTGTCGACTTACTTGATTATCATATTACTCTGTCCAATGCCAGACAATGTTACTTTGTCGATGGAAGAGCTTAAAATGGTTAATGTTCATTCTCTTTGTTTATCCAGTTTGCTTTCATTCAATTGACTGTTTGCAGGCTTTGCTCAACAGTGTTGTTGACTGTGTGGGAATACAATGTTTTCTTATATAAAGTTTTGCTGTTGTTACTCTCTCTCTCTCACCTTTAGATATCTTTGATAATGACAACAGCATTCTTTATGCTACAAACTACTGTTTTACTAAGAAATGTTTCTTTGTAAAACACTGCCACTTTGGTATTAATTTCAAGCCTGATTATTATTGTGCCATATTGTAGGTAGGTGATGATTCAAATGATGTTGCATCTCAGCCAATACAGAGAAGAAATCAAGCTCAAGAGCTAATTACAAAGGATGATTGTCGAAAAGCTATTGCAGAAGCTATGGGCTCAATTGAAGCCAAGATTGACGTGTCCAATCAGAATTTGATGCGTGGTATTTTAAAGTTTGCCGAAAGAGTCAAAGGTATGCCAGTGTCAAAACTGACCAGTTGTTTCCACACATTTGGTGCAGCTGGGGTGGTTCATTCACGAGTGACAACTCCATCAATTATGAAAAGGGAAAAACGAGGGAAAATTCATGTTCAGCCAGAGGCAGTTAAGTGAAGAAAGGTAGAGTCGGGAAGCAGAACGAAACAACAAAAGGGTCAAATTGTGAAGCACATTCCATTTAAGAGAAAAGCTGGAAGAGTAAAACTATGTCATCAGTTTACAGAGAATGGTAGGGAAAATGAGCCAGTGTCCAAGAAAGCTGGCAGAACTATGTCTACAAAAACCTCCTGCTATGAGAGCAAAGTTTAACCAACTAAACTTTTAAAGATACCTCTTCCAAAACTAAACTTTTAAATATACTTAATTAATGGGATTATTTAGTATGCAACAAAAAGTAAGAAATATATAATAAAGTAAGAATATATTTGAACTTTAAGGTGCAATGAAAATTTCTCCCCAGTGAGAACAAGATAAGCTGTGAATAAATTATTAAGATCCTTATTTTCAAGGTACTTTAAGTCATTCATAAAAATTGCACAGAAAATTTTCGTATTTTGTGCACTTAATTTTACAATATTTAACTGGAGTTTCAATTTAATAGCATAACAAAGTAATGTATGCAACAACTTACAGTTAGTGACAGTTCTTCTCATGCCTGTGCATATTTGACTGAAGTGTGAACCTGGTATTACATTTATCACATGCAAATTTTTTAATCTTTGTGTGTTTGCTTTCATGACGCTTTAATGACAGTTTGTGGAACCAAAGGTTTTGTCACAAACATCACATTTATTTTGTGCAGGGTCATGGCTTTGTGCATGTCGCTTAAGAGTGCATGCCAGAGAATATCAGACATATCGCGGCAAGCTTCAAAATTTTGAATCTATTCAATTTTTATATTAGATAGGCAATGATATAATGAGTAGTATGGTATAGGTTTTTTTGAAAATATTGCATAGTTTTCGGGAAAATTTTTTTTATGAAAAAATTCCCCTAAAATGATCATTTGACACACCAAATTTGCGCTCAGGTTTGACGCTCTTGTTTTACCAAAACCAGTGATTCTACACACTTTATTTCCTAAAGTATTGTAGATACATATTTATTTATCTATTTCTGTGAATTTGAGCAGGATTGGATTTTTTGTAATATATACAGTTTTTATGAAGGAATTATTTTTGACATTCTGGGTGTATGTCATGAGTATGCTACGGCAAAAAATATTTTTCACAATGTGCGAAACCCTCAAATCGCGTGAAAGTTTGGTCAATGATTATTGAAAAGATGCGCTATCTAATTATATGTATATTTCTTTGGGCAAATAAAATTATACGAAACTAGAGCCTTTTCAAAACTGCTAAAATTGCCTTAAATCATGACCTTCATATGTCAATGTTATTTATAGCACAAACACACTTTTCCTGGATTTAACATATTTATTTACACGTGAAATTAAACAGAACTATATATATATTCACTTTTGTTTCATGTAAATCCAATGAGATGCGGCACAGATGCCTAATTCAGTTGTGATAAATGATTTCCATAAAAAGTATGATGAATATTGTGGGTTTCCCCTGCATTGCCGTATTAAATAAACAACATGAATATGCTATAAATCAGTTAATAAAATATAAATAGTAAATAAATAAAATCATGGAAGCTTGTTATTACTTTAAATCAATTGTTGGTGGAATTTGCGGCATTGATTTGAGAGAACGAAAGCAAAGCACTCAAATTATTCCTTTAATCACCTGTATACTAAAGACATTTCAAAACACAAGACTACATACTCATTTTGGGAATTGGAAATGAAATTGAACTATTCTCTGCCATGTGGGACTGCTTTCTGAGACCGGTCAAATTAGTCAGTCAATGACAATATCCCAGCTAGCACATAACATTATCACAACGTTATATTTTGGTCGTATTTTGGTTAGGTCGGACCTAACCAAAATACGACGTTCACACGACGTTTTTAATCTTTCAAGTGGGAGATCAAGTTACTGGTGGCAAAACGTGAACGTTGTAATAACGTCGAATCAACGTTGTGGCAGCACTTTAAACATATCAGCCAGAGAATGTTGTGGGAAAGTTTTATCTCAACGTTTAGATAACATTTTGTCAAAACCAAACACCAACGTTGTGTAAAGGTTTTGTGGTTACGTTTAAAAGACTTTTTTTACAACGTTCAAATAACGTTTGGGCTTCGGAAGATCATTTGTCATTCTTAACAAAAATTATGAATTGAAAAAATAGAGGATGCGTAGCCAGGTGGAAACATAATTTATTTATTGACCGTTCTCCGACTAAATATTTATTTCTACAAGCTTTTGGCTATCAGTCTATAGCCTTCGACGGGTGTAGAATCATTTGTATACACCCGTCGAAGCGGGCTATACTATAGACTGATAGCCGAAAGCTCGTCGAAATATATATTTAGTCAGAGAACGTTCAATAAATAAAAATTATACAGATTGAACGGTCATAAACGCTGAATTGTTATTTTATATTTTAGAAACACAAATTGTTCATTGTAGAAAATCGGCTATCTAGTACGGATTTTTTTAATCTTAATATTCACTTTAAAGTCGAATCAGAATTATCTCGTTTGTCAAACCTGCCTTCACTTTGTCCTGTGGATGTTCTCTGTAGATCAATGTAATATGAAGTACTTCAGTGTTTACAGGACAATGAGAATACAGGCTCAGAACACAAGATTTCTGACTCCTTCGCAGTCCTTTAATATGTCACATATCAGTGACATTTATAGATCAAAGCGCGCCCCAAAGCGAGGTACTGGGGACAAGTCGAAAAAGATTGCACCACTCATTGCAGCACGTGCGGACATTAGTCATTTAATACTTGAATTGAGACGTGTTGAAAGTCGTTATTTTGTTGGAAATCGAAGTTAAAATCATCATTTTCAAGTATCTCCATCTTTACAAAGTATGTAAAAGCAAATTCTGTATTATATTTAGTTTGTATCGTTTATATTATTTGCTTAAAGGTCATATACTACAGTAAGTGTATAGGCTATAGCCGTACTGAAATCTTGTGAGTTGCCGTTGGTCATCAACTAGATTGAAACAGTCACAGATGACTATTTTTAATAGCAGACCTTTTGATGAAATGTTTAATTTGACATAATAAACTCTTAATTGAGCCCTTAAAATCATTATGGCAAAGCAGAATACATATATCAATCATTCAATCTATAAATACCATATTTTCATTGCGATATTTGCAAATATAAATACTGTATATAAACACAATCTGACAATCCAAAGATCTATTATATTAATATAAACTATCAAACCAAAACGTACCAACATATGAGACGAAAGTCATTATAGCCTATATACTCTGATTTAAAAGCAAAAAATTCAAACTAAACTGAAGTGTAAAACAATATAAATCAATATATATTCTATTGGCCATTTCTTATGCCCTTTATGTACCTATCAATGTAAATCCAGCGAGGGGGGATGCGGGCAAAGGCTGGGGATTTGACTTGAGCGCTTGTCGGTTGTTTGAACATCAAGCAATACATGTGACCTCTGACACAGACGGCCTACCTAGAAGTCTATTAGTATGTAGTAAATATACGATTATAGAATATACTACATGGTAAAATTTGTAATGAATTTTATATTTTAAAATTATATTTACATGCCCAATTTAATTGTGTGTGATCATCTTTTATTTCTGGGTGACTTTACACTCTGTACTGGCGATTGTCATATAGGTGATAGGAATGGAAGCAAAAGCTATTCCCGTTCTCAAACTTCAACTCAAAGAAATCTGGCATTGTAATTTGCAAAACCCTTTCGATCGTATACAACAACAACAATTAACGAGCAAATCCATGCCACGATGGCAACAGTTTACTATATTTGAAACTGTTTGATGTTGTAATTTGCAAAAACTCTTTCTGTCGTATACTATTCGAATCCCCCCTGGCAATCCAAAGGGTAAAGAAGACTAGGTGGTTGTCAGTGTTTCAAAGTTTCATAGAATTTGGGTTTTGAAGCATTTTGTTAAAAATCCATTCTAAAAATTATAGGACATGTTAACATAATGCCTTGTATGTTTGAAAATGGGTGTTTATTCTATACGCTGACGGTGGAATTTTACGGAGAACAAACCAATTTAAAGGGGGTATTTTTTGAGTTGAAGTGTTAGTGTTGCCGGTTTGAAAACGGTAATAGTCGGCCTTTGCTTTCATTCCTATCACTTATGATGACAGTTGCAGGCATAGAGTGTAAAGTCGTGCAGAAATAAAAGACGATTGCATACAATTAAATTAGGCAAGTAAATATAATTTTAAAATATAAAATTTATTACAAATTTTACTGTGTAGTCAGTATTCTATAATGATATATTTACTATATAGTAATACACATCTTGGCCGCCTGTGGTGATCTTTGCTTTTATCTCGAGATATTTCAATGTGTTTGAAATGTAAATGAGTGTGAATATGTTCGCTAATTTATGATGTCATATTGGTTATAAGCTCTTTAAAATGGATAAATAGCATAAACCTTTGAATATAAGCCCCCCCTGAATATAAGCCCCCCTGAATATAAGCCCCCTTGTGTATAAGCCCACCATATGTACTAAGGCTCACCTCACCATTCCAAATATAGGACCTCCCCCCCAAAGATAATTCCCCACTGGATATAAGCCCCCCACCAAATATAAGCCCCCCACCA